CAAATTGCATTAAATAACATTTATTTGAGTCACCTGAGTAATATCTCCAATGAACTTTATGACATCTTCCCCTTACAAACTCAAAATTGGGTTTCATGGGAAAAAAAAAAAAAGCTCTGGAAACCAACTCACAATTGAACTTAGAGCCAACAGACCGAAATCACCAAAAAATTTTAAATAATTATAAGGAAGGTGGTAATGAAAGAAAATCTACTCAGGATTTATGCAGGGAGAGAGAGAAGGGAGGGAATTAAAGGAAAACAACAAGAAAGAAATAAAATGAGCCAGAAAAAATGGGGAAAAGACTTCATTTCAAATTCTATCTCTTCCCTTAGAGACTAAGCTGTACAGCAGAGCTCAGTGGGCTTGTTAAAATGGACACCGCTGCCCTACGTCAGCCTCAAACAGTTTGCTTAGCTCCAGAGCTAAGACTTTAGGTACCAAGAACTGACACCCAGATATCAATGTAATCTTATTACAGTTCCTTTCAAACAACGGGTATAAGGATATGACAAGGTGATGGCATGGATAGTGAAAATTATCTTACTCCAGCTGAACCTCCAGAATTATCTACCTAACCATTTCCACTGATCATATGGGTAAAGGTACAGAGATACAGAAGATGGAAACATAAAATGAAATAGAATGATCGGGAGAACACAAAGCACATGACCCCTCTAACAGATGTGTTTTATGTTTTATGAACTGGTGAAATAAAGCTAAGACCATGCATGAAATTTTTTTCACTCTTTCCCTGAACTCTGTCACTCAGTAGCCATTTCCTTGAAATGAAAATTACCATAGATAAAGCTTCTCCTTAAAAAAAAAAAAAAAAAAAAAAAATCTAATCTATTACTTCCATCGAGTCAGGTCACATGGGGAGGGACTTGAGCGTGGGCCCAAGAACATGGCCCTCTGCAGGTGCCAGGGGGGCTCACTGCCCACTGTGAGAAGCACAGTATCTGAGAGCTGGAAGCTGCAGAGGAGGGGTCTAGGGAAGAACAGACACAGCCTCTCCAGGCTGTAGCTCTATGGGACCTATAGTAATCGACTGGTATGAGGTTTTCACCTGGTCATCCCTGGCTCCACCAGGGTAGTGGCACTAAAGAAGAAGCTGTAGGATCAGGGGGCTTTGTCCCATGTTTTCTAAATGGTTTTCTTCCACGAATAGGGACACCCGATGGACTGCCAGTCCAGCATAACTGGACCAAGCCATGGCAGGATGATCCTGACACCCTCATTACTACTATCTCTGGCCAGTTGTGCAGTTAGCCAACTTCTGCCTTGTTGCCCCTTCTTTACAGGTTGGCTGCTGTCAAGAGTGTAGCACTATCTGGAAACTCTAACTATCCTGGAAGGCACATCAGCTCTCATCCTTCCTTATTCCACTGTTACTGCTTTACAGTGATGCAGTTTGACCTAGAATGGTCAAATTCGTCAACGAGTACCCATGGGTTTTCATGGCATTCAGTTTCTGGCCAGAAATGGGTTGGCATGATGTAATGGCCATTTCACCCTAAAATGTAACCTGATTCCACCTGAAATTACCAAAGCCTTTACAATGTTATACCCGTCCACAAATATTTGTTGAACAATATGACCTATCAGCTTTCATTTTCATCCATATTCTGGCAATACCACTCATCCCTACTCTTCAGAGAGGCATTTGTGTTTATAACTCTTCCCAGACCTACTGTACCTCCAGATTTTTAGGTCCTTTCTATGGCGCCTTTAAAAACACACTGTTAGACATATAATCTGAAAACTGCAGAGTCAATGAGTAAGACCCAGCAGAAAAATATTGGAAAGTCAAAACTTCTAAAATTGTAAAGTTAAAGATTAGCAAGCCCCATCTTTTGCAGATGAGGATAGGATCTGCCCACATCACAAGGTAGTAGCAGAGTAGAAACTTGAACCCAAGTGTTACAGATTGAACATTTGCATGCTGCCTCCCACCCACCTCAAATTCATATATTGAAAAGTTCATGAGGGCAGAGCCCTCAAGGGGATAGTGCCTTATAAAAGAGACCCCCAAAGAGATCCGTTCCCCCTCCACTAGTGAGAACACAATGAAATGGTGCAGAACATGAACTGGAAGTGGAGCGGAATCTACCAGTGTGTTGGTCTTAGACTTCCTAGATTTCAGAACTGTGAGAAATAATTTTGCTGATGTTTCCTAAAGACAAACAAACAAAAAACCCTTAAAATAGTTTAATAGAAAAACTGAAAAAATTAACAGAATTTTACATGGATGGCTTAACTATTGTTTGGGATAATTAGAGAAAAGAATTTGAACTGAATATTTTTATATTTGAGATAAGGAGTCAAAGCCATTTCAATCGATTGAAAAGAGATTTGATGTCAGATTCCACCAGCAAAGAAAACATAAGCAAAAATAAACAGGGCCTCCCTGGTGGCACAGGCGGTTGAGTGCAAAGCTGTGAAGCTGTCCACAGCCTCTGCAGTGCCGGTTTGATACCTGGCTGGCCAGGGAGCAACCCACATGGTGCGGCAGACCTCTCCTGACTCTCCCGCTTCTGCCCTCAGCAGTGTATTTCAGTCAGTCTGCCTGTTCTGTTGCCCACTTTCTCTGGTGAATCCTCTCACCCCCCCCCACCTCTGGCCTATACCCCAGTTCTTGTTTGCATAAATAAATAAATCTTTAAAAGAAAACCTGCACATACCTTTTGATTCCACAAACTTTAATTCTATTTCTTATCATCTGAAGAGAGGAAAATTAGTAATGCAAATAGAGTAGTCAAGATAGCCATAGAATAATTATTTTTAAAGAAAGCAATTAGAAACAAATAGTCGAGATTAATGAAATGCTTAATGAAATTTTATATAATCAGTGGGTGGGAAGAAGGTTTAACTGCTGAAAGTTTCAGCTTCAAGGCAAAAAGAATGACATGAGAAAATCTTCAAAAATAATATTAGGTATGAAAAGCAAATATATGAACATTTTATACGGTATGAAATTTATCCATAAACAAAATGTTAAGCATAATGATTATAAACTGATTAAAATACCAAAAACATTTTTAGAACAGCTATCTGCTGTGCTAGAATTACAGATAATTTTTCAACTTTTAGTATATGTTCCCATAATTTTTCATATTTTCTATATTAAGGATATATTTATTTTATAACAAAAATGTTTTTTAAATGATGCTATTTTCCACATCACTGGAGAAAAGGTATTAGATCTTAATGTGTTTGTTGTTTCTTCTTCTACCAAAATTAAATACAGACATATTACCACCAGCTACAAAGTTCATTGTCTTCAAAGAGAGGGCCTCTGAGACATCTCATTTGGGGAATCAGTCCACCTGGGATGTCTTGCCAGCAGTTCTCCAGGGAAACTAAAAATCCTATGTAAGAGGTGCCATCCCAGATTTTAAAGAACTCATAAGGATTCTCAAGTATGCATAGGGATTTGGTTGTGCCTAACTTTGAGGTGAGTTTGGGAAATTTTCAAAAATACCTGTTTGAGGAAAAGTGAAAACATTATTGGCTAAGACAGGAATAGATTGGTATGGGGAGATACATGGGGACTGTTAACAAAAGGCAATTTAACAAGAAGCACTTAAGAGGTAAAGACTCTTTTTCTTCCTACATGATTTTCACAGGCCTTGGTCTCATTTTCCACATATTCCATTCATTTAATCACATTGTACACATTTAAGATGGTGGACACTGAATATTTTAATCTTGAAATTTCTCTAATGTAGAGGTGTGAAATAATGGTTTCTGCATGCAGTGACTTTTCTGGAACTCCCTTATAAAGGAGATCATTTACATGAGATACAGCCAGCTTAGCAACCAGAGCCCAGGTGTCTCTGAAATGTGTAGTGCATTGCATTTTGTTTATTCCATAGTTAATTTATGTACCTGGGCCAGTAGGAGTGGTTGCCACAGTGATTTTTAGAATGTTTACATGACAAGATCTCATGCCATATGTCTTCCTAGCCATGTAATACACGCCATCACACTGCAAGTGTTTATTTATTTCTGCTGGATAGTGGGAGTGTTGGACATTGATTTGGGTACATAAGGAGACTCAGCGACTCCAAAGCTTAAAAGAAGTACTTTAACCACCTAGAACGTTTAATTTTCTTTAAACATCCCTGAAACGTCATCAAATTATTTCTACTGCTTGCATGAGAAATAACAACCCAGAGATATGGTATATTTTGTAACAATTACCTGTTCATAGGTAACAAAGGAAATATTTAAATTAAAGCAGTATAGACAATCAATAATACTTAGAACTTCCAGGGCTTCCTGAGTCCATTGAGAATGGAGAGCAGGGAAAAAAGGAAGGCCAAAAAAATCAAAAGGAAAGGGATGCTATATCTGAGTGAAACAAGCCATAATAAAAATATTACTTAATTTCTATAAAACTAATGGTGTGGAAGCATAAATACTTTTTTTGTTTTCTCAAAAACAATTATATTACCTTAAGCAAGTTATACAGAGATTTCTTGGCAAATTTTATGTAGAATATTAGATTTCTTCATAATCTTCAAGGCAGGACTAATTTTTGATTGGCCTTTAAAGCTGGAAAATGAAACTACCAGTAAGGTCTAGTTAGATTCATGTGATTCTGTAACATAGCCACATGATTTTAGTGACAAGACTCAGGGAAGAAACTGAGAGAAGGGAAGAAAATGGAAAAAAAGTTTTTTGAAAGGAAGAAGACAACTGTAGCCCAGTTCACAGCCTTTTTTATTATTATCATTGGAATATGTGGAGTGCCAGAGGTGTTCTAGGGTGGTATGGAGCGTGAGGGAAGTTACAATGGGACGTGGGGAGGGTAAGGCTGTACTGTAATTTATACACACCATATGCTAAAAAGTGGAGCTGGAAAACAAAATATCCTGGTTAACAAAGGAAAGATTGTGGCATTTATGGGTCAAAAAACTCCCTCTTATAGGGTCTTAAACCCTAACTCTCCTCTGTACAGGAAACAATTGCTAATGAAGAATGTGAAATGCTCCCTGCCTGGCGGCCATCATGTCTGGGGCCAACAGCTCCAGCCTGACACCCACGTTCTTCATCTTGAATGGGATCCCTGGGCTGGAGGCCGCACATGTCTGGATCTCCCTGCCATTCTGCTTCATGTACATCATCGCTGTCGTGGGCAACTGTGGGCTCATCTACCTCATCATCCATGAGGAGGCCCTGCACCGGCCCATGTACTACTTCCTGGCCCTGCTCTCCTTCACTGACGTCACCCTGTGCACCACCACTGTCCCCAACATGCTGTGCATATTCTGGTTCAACCTCAAGGAGATTGACTTTCATGCCTGCCTGGCCCAGATGTTTTTTGTCCACACACTGACAGGCATGGAGTCTGGGGTGCTCATGCTCATGGCCCTGGACCGCTACGTGGCCATCTGCTACCCTCTGCGCTACTCCACCATCCTGACCAGCCCTGTCATCGCCAAGGCTGGTCTTGCCACTTTCCTGAGGGGTGTGATGCTCATCATCCCCTTCACCTTCCTCACCAAGCGCCTGCCCTATTGCCGGGGCAACTTCATTCCTCACACCTACTGCGACCACATGTCTGTGGCCAAGGTGTCCTGTGGCAATTTCAAGGCCAACGCCATCTATGGTCTCTTGACAGCCCTCCTGATTGGGGGCTTTGACATCTTCTGCATTTCTGTGTCTTACACTATGATCTTGAGGGCTGTGGTGAGCCTGTCATCGGCAGATGCCCGTCACAAAGCCTTCAGCACCTGCACATCCCACATCTGTGCTATTGTCATCACATATGTCCCAGCCTTATTCACTATTTTCACTCACCGTTTTGGAGAAAAGAACATTCCTCACCATATCCATATCATTATTGCCAACCTCTATCTGATGTTGCCTCCTACCCTGAACCCCATTGTTTATGGAGCAAAGACCAAGCAGATCCAGGAAGGTGTGGTCAAGCTATTTTCTAAGGAGAAAGATATCTTCACTCTGAAATAGATTCATGAATTAATGTCCATAAATAAAGACAAAGGACGTTTTAGCAGACCGTCTTGAGTGTAAATTTAAAACCAACTGGTCTTACTGCAGGAATCAATATTTGTTTAAACCTGCTATAAAATTAGCTGAGTCATTTTTTGTAAAGCTCAATGATAGAAATGAATATGAAATACATCCCCTGAATGTGAAGGACTTGCTCTTAAAAGGAATTCTGCACCAATGTAATCTGTTTAGGTTGTTTAGAAATAATTGCATTGCTCAGAATCCTAGTGTGCTTTAAGGGTTGAACAAATCTCAGATGGAATGCACACCAGACAAAAGAAAAACAGAAGCCTTCTTGATTATGTCAATATATTGAAGGTTCATCTATTCTTGGGGGTAATCTCAAGGAAAAAAGTCTCAGTCTGTTTTACAAGTCCTTTAACATTTGTTTTAATGACTTCATTTATTTCCATTATACAATTCACTGTCTAATTTTGCAGTTTGATTCAGTTATGAAAATTATCTCATGTCTATCTAAGCTATATTGGATTTCCACTACTAAGGATAATAATGTTCATATATTTGTATTGAGATTGTCTAAATAAAATGGGGAAATAAGGAAATAGAACTATGAAAACTTCTTAAGGATAATTCCTTAAGGGATAACTTCTTAAGGATACTTTTTGAAGCAGTCACAAAATAAGTTTTAGAAATCATTGTGAAAAGGTAATAGAAAACAGATGAATTCACCAGAATAATCTATAAATATTTGGGTTTAACTGACTTTGTAGAATTTTTTTCCAAGCTCAATCAACACAACCAAAAATCTTCTCCTATAATTAAAATTCAAATAGAAGTTGATCAAAACAAGTTTACATAACATCCAAATCATTCACAAACATTGGCCTTGTCTCCCATAACAAAGCTCTGATCCCATGCAGCAAAATATGGAGAATTAAAAAGCTTCACCTGGGTCACTGCTGGGCCCTGGCAAACCTGAAGGTACTGATTTCCATTCCCTATATCTCCTTCAACACTAAGAAAATCTAGTTTGGGGCAACTTCATATCACTGCTAGTAGTTGTGAAATGCACAGTTTTAAGTATTAAATGCACCGTTGAAAGTAATTAGAAAAGTATGCCATTTCCTGCTAGAAATGTTGAAGACTATGATGTATAATATGGAGTTTCTGAAGTTATATTACAGCCTAAATATTGATATTGTTAGTGTTATCAGATCATACTGTATTGGCACTTCAAGGGTTTCCACCTAAGGTGGGAGTTTGACTGTAAACAGGAATGCACAAATCTCCTAACACTCCAGAATTGTGAAAATACTGTAATAAATACATTTCTGAAATTATACAAAACCATAGTAAAACTTAAAATATATCAAGATTTTAAAAATAAAAGGAAAAAAAAATAAAAGGGAAGTCATGGCAGCAGATGTAAACTCACAGTCTACAAAAACTTGATTCAAATAACGTCAGTGTTTGAAAAGCATTGTTTTTTTAAAAATTTTTATAAATTTTATTTTTATATTCCCCATACAATTGCAACCCCCTTATTTTGACCCCAATCCCTCCCCTCCCCGCCCCCCATCCCCATAGAGTGTCTCTGGTTCTGGTTCATAGTTTTTGTTGATTTTGATTTTCACTTTCTTATAGTTATTCATTTTCCTGGTCCCTTATTTAAGTTTTCTAGATTCCTGCTATGAGTGAGACCATCCAGTATTTTTCTTTTTCTTTCTGGCTTATTTCGCTGAGCATGATCCTTTCCGGCGCCATCCATGGTGCTGCAAATTGCATGTGTTTATCTTTTTTGAATGCTGAGTAATATTCCACGGTGTATATGTACCACATCTTCTTGATCCAGTCATCTATTTTTGGGCATTTGGGTTGTTTCCAAAGCTTAGCTATTGTTAATAGTGCTGCTATAAACATAGGGGTGCAGGTGCTCTTTGGAGTTGATGTTTCTGTGTCCTTTGGGTAAATACCTAGGAGTGGAATTGCTGGATCATATGGAAGCTCTATGTTTAGTAGGTCAAGAAATCTCCACACAGGGCCTCCCCGGTGGCACAGCGGTTGAGTGCTGGGTTGCGAAGCTGCCCGCGGCCTCTGCAGCGCAGGTTTGATCCCCAGCTGCTCCCCGGCCACTGGAGGAGGGTCCCACATGGCGCGCAGACCTCTCCTGCCGCCCGCTGCTCCCCTCAGCAGTGTCCTTCGGTCCTTCTGCCTGCTCTGCTCCCCGCTCTGGCTCTGGTGAATTCTCTCACCCTCCCGCGCTTCTGACTGTACCCAGTGCATGTATAAACAAAACAAACAAACAAACAAACAAATAAATAAATAAAACATGCCTCTATAAAAAAAAAAAAAAAGAAAAAAAGAAATCTCCACACAGCTCTCGATAGTGGTTGGACCAGTTTGCACTCCCTCCAGCAGTGCAGAATTCCTTTTTCTCCACAACCTCGCCAACACTTGTTGTTGCTAGTTTTTTTAATATGTGCCATTCTCACTGGTGTAAGATGGTATCTCATTGTAGTTTTGATTTGCATGAAAAGCATTGTTTGTGTGAGAGCTCTTGCAAGGCATGCAGCCTAGAAACTCGCATAATTACACAGTCTGAATGGCAATCAACATAACTACATCCATCAGCCCAGAGACACAAAATAATATTCTTACTATGATAATTTGAAGAAATATCAATGCAACACATGTGACTATAGATAGATTAAAAAAGAAACAAAGACATTTTCTGGTAATAGTCTTTATATATATATATATATATATATTCAGTTATTTTCTTTGTGTTGTAGTAAGAGTACTCAGTGCACATCCTGACATTTTATTCATGTCTTAATCCCCTGCTTCCCCACAGACAAACCTATACACCCACTTCAACATACTGGGGCATACTGCAAATATAATGTGCGCAAAGAATTGGGAATAAGTATTGAAAGGGAAGGATAAAGATGCAGGACCTATATTAATAAATATTGTCCATAGTTCTTTACAAATGATTATTATAGGTGGGAATATGAGTAAAACACACCTTAATTGAAGCAGTCACCTAGAAATTGTATGTTGGACACTAGCAGTTATGGTAAAACAAGGAGAGAGGCTGGTCAGACTTTGCTAGAAACTGACAGTTGGTGTAGGAACACCTACAATTCTCCCTTCATGAGTTGGATGAGAGCAAAAGAAAAGATATTTAAATGCCATCTTGGATGAAAAATTTCCAGAAAAGACAAGTCTAAATCTGGTTGAAAACGAATCAAGAGGGAAATCCAAATGCCTTGGACAACAAAGACACAAACCCTATAAAATCGTGATAAAGAGAAAGAAGAAATACTATGCAGAAAAATGAAGAAAATCATCTTGGATGTGTAAAATTCTTACTGTTAGATTAAAAAGACCATTTAAAGTATTTAAAAATGGGCATTTTTTTTCCTTTCTTGAAATATTTTATTTATTTTAATTTTTTACACTTTTTATTTTTTTATATATATTTTTAATAAATTTTATTTTTATATTCCCCATACTATTGCAAACCCCTTATTTTGACCCCAATCCCTCCCCTCCCCGCCCCCCCCCCCACCCCCCCATAGAGTGTCTCTGGTTCATAGTTGTTGATTTTGATTTTTACTTTCTTATAGTTATTCTTTTTCCTGGTCCCTTAATCATGCTCAGCGAAATAAACCAGAAAGAAAAAGAAAAATACCGGATGGTCTCACTCATAGCAGGAATCTAGAAAAAATGGGCATATTTTTATATAATCTGTGTAGGGTAACCGGTTTTCACGCTTTTCTGCCCTCCCACTATTAGGATTGCCCTGACCTGATGGGGCACCTGCAGTTGTTACATTGTTGTAAGCTGTCCTGTTTACCTCTGTGGGCCATGGGAGGAGTATTGAGACAGTCACCAAGAGAAGCAGAAGCAGAAGAGGGGCAGGAGAGAGAAGGGGAGAAAGAAGGCCAGAGAAGCAGGGACTGAAGACTTGCCTGGGGCTTGGAGGCCTACTGGCTTCCTAGCCCCTGGGCACCCCTGCGCTGCAATGCATGTAAAGCTCAATAAAAGCCTGAGAAAGCCACCGAGGGCTCCAGGACTCTCCTTTACCCAGTCCTCTAGCATCATAGAAAACCTGCTCAGTGGCCATTCTGCCCCTACAATCTACAAAAAGAGGGGAGAAAATCTAAGGACAGAAATGCATGACATGGCCAAATTAGAAAATGAGAAGCTGGGATAACAGGATGTGATTATACATGACAAATGAATAAACATAGTTTAAATAGGAAAGTACAAACATGTTAAACATGTAAATATAGAATTAAAAAGTAAATACGTTATCTTGAATTAATAATTATTATAAATTAGTAATCAGCAAAGCTTAGAAAGCATTATAGAATCTAGTGGACAAAGTTGAGGTAAAAGTGTTGAGAGAAAATTATTAAGAACAGAGAGTGAAGATTCAACATAAGTTCCTTTGATGTTAGTAAAGCAGCTCATAATGACTGGACAACAAACAGTATTCAGAGTCATAAAGAAAATTATGTCTACGGCCTCCCTGGTAGCTTAGGGGTTAACTCTCAGTGCTACCACTACAGCTGCCTGACTTCTATGCCCAGCCAGAGAGCTACCCGCATGGTGCAGCAGACCTCTCCTGACCCGCCCACTGCTCCTCTTGGCAGTGCATTTCAGTCTGTCTGCCTGTTCTGTTCCCCACTTTGTCTCTGGTGAATCCTGTCACCCACCCCCTCCCCCCACAACTCTGGCCTTTACCCCAATTCCACACAAAAATAAACAAATAAAATCTTTTTTAAAAAAAAAGAAAATTAGGTCTAAATTTAGTATTGATGCATATATACAAGTGCATACAAAGAAAAAGTATATCAAGGGATTAGTTATATCAGGCATTTCAAAAATATTTAAACTTCAATAATGATCAAAAACCAAATTTAGTTCATATGTCAAAAGGAAGCAGCACATTACATGTTAAATAAAGTAAAAGAGAAATGAGAACG